ATGCCAAGAAAAAGTGGCACACTCGGTGATGTGGCCCGCTCGGTGATGGAATACGTTATTGACAAAGATGAAGATAAATAAGGCACTATACTCCAAACTATCCACTCCCATCGTTCTAAACGATTGATTGATTGATATCTTATTCAACGTCATTTTTGATTAGCACGAGCTGTAGCTCGTAGCAAGCTTCCCTTGGTGCATGAGGACGGGCGAAGCGCAAGTATAAGAAACGAGATGTGTATTCAAAGCGAAATGTCCTTCAAGTTATCTACCGCCGACATGAGAGAGAAATACTGCTCCGTCACCAAGTTCCATCATACTGGAGCAGCCACTAAGATAGAAAGAAAGCAACACGCCCATGCACCACATACATCAACATCAAAAACACGGATAATTATTTCGCACATCACAACATTAAGCAACCTTCATTCAACCCTAAAAACCCCTCCATCCCCAACAAGAACTTACATCTCCATAATCTCGATCAATCTCGCGTTCCTCGTATCCTGCACACACACACACACCACACGCCACAAGCCGTTCGAAACAGACTAAAAAGGCCTCGTAAATCGGGTCTCCGGCATGGCGTTCAATCGCAATTCCAAATTTTAAACAAGTAAAAAATGCGTGCGCGCGCCCTACACTGTTTCCGTACATGGCAGCCGATGTTTTCTTTTTTTCTTCTTTTTTGACTGAGACGGGTCGGGCCAGGTCAGCAACATCACCACTACCACTAGCGGGAGGAACAAGGCAATGTATGCGTGTGACGCAAGAAAGAGACAGAGAGCTTAAACAAGCCTTTTTGTTTCGAGACGGGTGAGAAGCCAAAGCGCAGGGTCGAAGTTGGGATGGCGTATCGCATGGATACTGACGTGCTTGCACTTGTGTAGTAACGTATTTGAGCGAAACGAGGGCTTTGGAAGGTTACGAGAGATGCTCCGTGTGCTGCTTGTAGCATCCAGAGGATGTTGATGTCTTAGTCGAACAGGAAGACGGGGCGCTGAATCATGGGCGCGGGGAGCCAGCTCCAACAATGTAGTCGCCCTCGAATCCCAGTCTCCCCCTTCGCGCTGCCATATGCGGTGCTCTTTCTCTTTTAATCTGCGCTGCGCGCTTTGTAAGTGGTGCCATGGTGGTCAGCACATGACACAACCCCTCCTTTTTTTGCCATCCCTGAAGAAGATCATGTTGCGAACAAGCTTACCGCGTCTACTCTTGGTCGCCCTCAGTCACTGACTAGCGCTCATGTATAGCACCTGTCCTTGCCACATGGCATGCCGGGACACCGTTGACATGCTGATATAATTAAAGCAGCTGAACGAACCTGTTTCCTTGTGCTATGTGTGCTGTCATGATGCCATATTGACTCAGTACCGTGACATACTCCACAGTGTCGCCGTCCCACTCTTCTATTCAAAACACCCCTTTTTCTTCCAAGTCGTGCGCAAGATCAACGTAACGACGGCGGTTGAACTCCTTTAAGGCGAATGGATAATGCGAGAAACAATCTGACAGGATTTTGGCCTCGGGCTCCAATGTGTGCCCGATAGACTTTTGCGAAAACGTTATCTTGGTGGCCGGTAGACTGGCTGACTGAGAACTAGAAGAGCATTTGGCAGGGCTAACCCCTCTTGGTTCAGCGATCCGCGTGCGGTAGCAGGGCTCGAGGACAGGATTCCCACGCGACATGGCGAAATACTGTGCGGACCGAGGCACGGATTTGTACAAGCATGTAGTACTTAGTACTGTTTGTACCTAGCGATGACGTTGCACTCAGGCTCCGATGAATGATAGGTCTCTGCAGGCGCGGCGGAAATGAAGCCAGCGAGGCTGTGTGTGTGTTGTTTACATGGACCGGCGTTGTCGCATTCAGCTCCTGCGAGCTCGGACTGGGTATGATTGACCAAACACGGGACGCTGTTTGTTTGCCTGGAAATGGGGGAAAAGACCGAGGAGAAGCGCAGGTAGTATGCAGTAGAGATGGAACCGTGGTGGGCCAGGGGCCGCGGACCAGTCGAGGGCGCTAGATCGGCACGACCAGCCGCATCGTCGTGGAGAAATCGCCAAGCGCATTCACCTTCAGGACCATGGTGCGAATGGGAATCACCAGTGACATTCTTTGTGGAGATTGCTGACGGGCTAGCTGCCCCTAGGCTGGCGGCTGCTACGGGCTGTTAGTGGCTGGCCGGGGTTCTTGGCCCCGCAATTTCCCCCCAAACGGAGACGCTGGAATTTTATGGGCTTCCATGGCCCCCTTAGGGCCATGCCTAAACAAAGAAATGAGTTTCGGTCCTGCATGGGATTCTGTTGTCAACATGACGAGAGTTTAATTACTCTACTAATCGTAGGTCGTTATGTATCGTGGAATGCAATTGGTATCATTATATTCGCAAGGGAAGGGAAAGAAGGGAAAAAAGGAGAAGTCCCCGATCTACCGGGTGGGATGACACGGCGCTTCACCCAGCATCTCCGAGGTGCTGGCGATTTCGATGTCCTTGTTTGATGAGCTCTCGTCCCAGTGCTGTTGGGATGATTGTGTCCTCCATGCATCCGCCGGCTCGCTTTGGGACCCCTCCACCTTGATGTGTATGTCTGTGACGACCTGGATGTCTCGTCCGTCCTCGTGTGAGTCGTTCGAGCGTTTCGTCACATTCAATGCATAGCTCTCTTTTGTGCGCAGCGCTTTGCTCCCTCCCTTGCTGCCTCCTTTGCTTCCATATGTCGCTGGGTAGTTGTGCCGAGAGTATTGGCTGCGGTGTCGGGATGTAAATGCCCTCGGGAGGTATTTGGCGAGGAGGGGTCTCAGCAGCGGCAGGCAGGCGCAGATGATGCCGACATTGGTCTCCACCGAACTCCAGGTTGCCGCAGGTGGGTTGTCGAAGGTTTGATCCGTCGAGTTGGAAATGGCCACGAGAGATTGCAAGCGCAGAATCGACACTACACATACACTACAAGACGATATGTTAACGTTGCTTTTTCGCGTGAACCCGAGATGCAAGGCGCATGGTACATGACAAGCCGGTGCGCTTAGTGGGCGCGCCGTTGTACCCTGGATGCGATGGAGCAGACCAATTAGAAGAAATACTTACAAGCCTCCGACTGCAAAAATAGAGATGAGTCCAATCTTCTGTCTTTTACCCAGGTTCAAGCTGCGTATGACGGGAATCGGCAAGAGAATGATTGCGAAATCAGTCGTGATGTTGATGCCGGCGTTGGTGAACCACATGGCGAATTGATTGATGCATCTCGCCGGCTCTTTGGTCCAGAATGCCCTGATAGGGACGCAAGCAAAGATACTCGAGAAGACTGTCCAGATGGTGTAGCAAATGACGACGGCCATGACGCTCCAATTCGCCACCTGGAATGCTTTTGTTGGAAAAATCCGCCGGTACTGGAGAAGCATGGATCCTTTGGTCAATCCCAGGGACATGTAGTAAACCATCAAACTGGACCAGAACGCCTGGTGTAGCTGGTCAATACAAGCGCAGAAGCCGAGAGGACAATCCTCACCTTCAGGAATACTGGCATGTCTTCAGGCGGAACATCGCGAAAGTGTCGTCCCATGCCGAATCCAGCTTCTAGATCAAGTCAGCCTTGACACAGTGACGAGACAGCGTGTTGTCGTACGGATACCGATGCAGATGGTCAGTCCTATTGAGCAGAGCTGGTCGTGGTTAGCCAAAGCGCCCAACTGATGGATATGAAGTCATGGGCCTACCATGGCCAGAGCGATGCCCAGATCCTCGATTCCTGCGCATCGAATAATGTAGAGCCGCGCATATAGTCGAAGAATGACGATGATTAGAGCGAGAAATGTGAAGACGGACGATATTATTACAGCCTCCCTGCCGCGTGAGTTTGCCTCCAGTGATCCAGCCATGATGTGATGGTGCAGGCTGCAAGGTGTCTAGAGGAAGAAAAGGACAGGCCCTGCGGGTAAGATATGGTATATCCTATACCTGCGCCCTAAAAATCCCTGAATCGAGACTGGTCGTGTGTGAGCATTGTCAATGGCCTTTTCCCATGCGCGCTTGTGCACGCTCCCCGCTCCCAGTGCACCCGCTCCACGGGAACCTTTAGCAATAATCCCGGGAACGCAACGGGACACAGCCTTGCCTGCAAAGTTTCCGCGTGGCAATGACTCGAAACACATCAGCCACGAGGACTGTGAGACAGAAGCAGAAGCAGGCCTTTGCACACCTTGGTTGCATACCGGCTAGCCGGGATCTACATCAGATTGAAACGCGGTGAGCATCGTGCCCTGAACATACATACATATCAGATGTAGCACCAGGGCCGTTTCTGCACACGCTTCAGTGCCCAATATCACTCCACAGTAGTAGCGGCTAAATTGCAGTGTACCATGAGCAAAAAAATACGGGATGTCCTGGAGTCGGATGGTGTCACCATCCATGTACAACGGTAGGGTTGTTTCAGATCAACACAATGGCTTCGGTTGCCGCGTCTCCGTGAAGTGATGGTACGACGGAATCACTCGAGGCTTGGGCCGCTGGCCATGAGCCAAGCTCTCTTTCTGGGATCTAGGCAGATCAGGGCGGTGGGCCAGCACCCACAAAGATCTGCAGATACGTCGGTGCGAACACACGTATGCAGGAACGTGGTGGAACCCAGAAGCGCGCAGGCTATGTCATAATATAGGAGACGGCTAATTGGATTCGAGAATTCTGCAAGCGAGCTGCAAGGTGCTGTAAGCAAAATCCTTTGTACCGATCAGATGTGCACCGCACAGATGAGAATTTCGGGGATGGTACCTGTTTGGCATTAAAGAGGAATTTTGGCTTTGGGGCAGCTCCTGCGAGTCTGTGGCTCGTCACGGCGCCTGACCAAGCAAGCAGTACTCGAGTATGCAGCCTTGTACTCGGGTATACAGCAGCAGTCGGTTCGGGTGAGGGCTGGCATCCCAATGGCTGGCGTGGTCCGGTAGCACAAGACGCTACATTCTTGGTCGCACTCAACCAGTCCACTTCTGGCGGCCTTGCCGCTAGGCCTTTGACAAGGCGGCTGGGATCAGGCGGTACAAGACGCATGACCCTCAAGCATTGCATCGGCGAATATGAGCAGCGGAGCGCACCGACCCCGAAACTATTCGCCATGTGGTGGGATGGAGAGGCGGAAAAGATCGACTCAACAAGAAGTGCGACCGAGGGCCATGTTGGTCCCAGAGGCGCGGGAACATTCAGCCTGGTCGTCGAGGCATATAACAGGCGGCTACAAGCGAGCGGCAGAAGAGGGGCCCGCGATTCGGCGGTTGCAGGACTTGGTTGTGGCTGTCTTGCACTAGGCGGCGGTGGCAGCACATTGATGAGGGCGCAGCTGTGCGGTGCGATGAGTGTTTCTGTCTCGTAATCCTCGTCGTAAGCTGTTCCCGGCGTGTTTGCCCATGCGCATGCCTCGCAAACAAGGTCTCTCTGCGGGCCTACTCTGCCCGCAACGTGGACGGCGAGCCGTGAGCAGAGGATCGTGGAGCGATGATGGCATAAGTGTCAGATGGAATATTGAGATCGTCTGTGTTCGGCTGTCGCAAGAGGAGGCAGTGAGGGGAGCGCGGTAGGCATGGCCCTGCCACGATAGGGGGATCACTGTCGCCCTGCCAAGGCGCTAGTACGCTTCTGTTGCGCGCTAGGCCCCGCGTGTGAGAAGTCAGTCGGCTTCCACACCCAAACAGTCTCACGGAGCCCTACATGTACAGCAACGTGGGCATGGGCGCGGCGGAAAGCTGACAGCCGTCCTCGTGGATCAAAAGTGGGATACCCACAGCCCTGTCCGCAAGGCACGACGACGCAGAGATCGCTCTCGCCCTCACAGACCACGCCCGCCCCCCCCGATTCGTGCCTCTGCACGCTGATCCCCTCGCACCCGGACATGCGCTGCCCGAGTTGAAGCAAACGCTCTCACGACACTCGCCTGAAACCCGTCTTCCTACGGGCACAGCCCCAGCGACTGGCCTTGGACGAGGCCATGACTTGGCGCGAAACTGGCGCTGAGCGCTTCATACAAGTACCCGGCATAGCTCGCGGCAGTATCCAACACCATAATCCTGGCCCAAACAGAAGGCCACCAGGCACTACTGCAGCTATCACTATTGGTAGACATATGTGTGGAAAAGGCCCGACACGTGCTACAGTCGTGCATCAGAGAGAGCAGCGCAAGCAACTCCTGGCCGTGGTGCCAGCAGATAAGTAACCGCCTGGCAGCAATAGCGTTCATCAGGTTGGTTTGAAGGTTTGACCGTTTCTTTTTGGCAAAAAAAAACCGCACTTCCAATACCTCGCATGGAACTCGCTAACTGGTTTACTGCTCCCGTAGCTGTATACCCTGACAGTGCAGATCAACGTCGAGTTTCGGCTACGCCCGCAAGTGGCGTCAATGGCGTTTTTTTTACTTCCACGCCCCTTCTCGTATTACACTAGACGATACAATGGCGTTTTTCCTGCACGCTTCTGCTCATGTCGTAGAAGCTTCTCCGTTGTTTCTGAATGTTGGGATCAATGCTTTCCACAGACACGCACACATGACCATGAGTAACGCACTCGTTCAGTGCTTCTGATATATCCAGGGGCTCGCCAAAGGAAACACGCCATTGTTCTTGGCCCAGTATAAGCACTAGAGGCTGCCATGGGAAGTCTTTTTAGGTGGCGTGGCTGGTTGCCCAAATCTTGTTCACTCTCAAGTAATCGACCAGTCAGCGCAGGGCGTAGGGGTCTTAGGATAACGGCGAACCCGTTGCCAAGCTGTGAAAACTATCAATAAACGCATGGGCTGCTTCATCACCCGTGCCAGTATGGATGAGTGACACGCATAATTCAGAATAGTCACATTCGCCACTGTGCCGTGGATAGTACATACGTATGAAGTCGCTGGCTGAGGTTACATTTGTCATGTCTGCCCATCCGTTCGGAACTGACCAGCCAACCACTGCACAAACCAGATTTCCGGTAATTCTATCTGCCAGTCTTAATCGCACGATAAAGCCTATTAGGGCTGTAATCGCATCCCAGGGTAGACGTAAACATAGTGGGCCCGTGGAGGCTATGAGCCCACACTGTAGCATAGACTCGGAATGCTTGAGTGCCAGATCACGATCTAGGCATCGGGTACTTTGAGCACTGGAGAGAACCTAATTTTGCCATCTTGACCTCGAATGCATGTCATATTCCGACCCTCCGTCCCTTGGTGCATCGAGTGCCTATGATACGAAAGTTTCTGATACTAGTTGCCTCAGACTACCCAATCCGGCCAGCACATGCAGGCCTTTTGGTAGCTTCACACAAATCATAAAGCTTGGGTTTAAGTGGGAACATGCAAAAGAAAGTTTGAAACTCGCATTGGCTCCAGCAGCTTAGAGGATCAGGTAGATGCGCGAACAAGCTTCGCCCCGGGTGTCTAGGCAAAAAGCTTCACTTGACGACAGTTGTGGTATGATGCACATATGAAGAATGACGTGTGCATATACCGTCTGTGAGAAGTCTTGCTGTTTAGTCGCTTTCTCGCTGAATTGGGCACTCCTGGATGCCTGGGGATATTTTTGCTTTCACTTGTTTGGATTTGCCACTCTCTTGGTGTACGCGAGTATCACATTGGCTCCTTGGCACTTTAGTGCCTTTTGAAACCTATCTCAAGTGCCGAAGACTTCAATACAACTTGAAAATATGGAATACCGACTCTACGTTCCAGCACCCTTGCGATAAAAAAACAAATCTTGAACGGGTGTGGCCATGAACAGCGTTAGCGTGCCATGGCGAAGGAACGGATGCAGTAGACAGTCCAGGGAACGTCTCCGCGGAGTCTTCAGCTCAACCATGTTCGACCGGAGTGCCGATGACGTTGCTACGACTCAACAAAATAATCTCCGACCGGAGATTCTGACTCCAGAACCAAGAGAATCGATTCAAGCTGTGCTGTGCTTTTCCGCGCTCCAACGATTTCCTTGTCGCCTAGCCGTATGCTAAGGATAGCACAAACCCCATTTCCTTTCTTACTCCTTCCAACCAACTCTCGGAGGGTTCTTCGGCCCCTATTCGAAGGCGATACTGTGTGCAAGATGGGTTGTCTGCTGAGCATGAACAGCCGTTCTAAGAGCCGGAATCTGTGCCAATAAGCCAAGCTGAACAGAGCGCCCAACGAGAAGCCCAACTATATGTCCATGTTTATTATCAGCAGGGACTTGAGACGGAGCTCTGACGCTGCAAGTTCGTCACTTCTTGGAGGAAGAGCGCAAAGAGCAGCCGTGAGAGGGAAACAAGCATGGGTGGTGAGGAATACGAGGGGGCGAGAAGGTGCGTAGTAGACATCATAGCGGGTTGTGAGACGACGGACCCCTTGGTTATTTTCTTTTCCCTTGCAGACCCCGAAATCGGGAAGATGGGGGGGGGCTTATAATATTTATCAAGGCCAGCTATATAACGGATGGCGGATGATGCGTAAGCTGGCCGGCAACGGAACGGGGACCTCGGCAGTTGACGTGAACATCTCTCGTGTAAGTTTCACATAACGAACAAAAATAATCATCAGATAGCCACGTTTTTGGCTGACACCGCTATTTTCCATGTACATAAATTCGCACGCAAGCTTTATTGCTCCGTCTTGCGGCCTTGGTCATGCGTGACACGGAAGCCACCGGATCAGATTTGCCAAACTATGGGGCTCTTAGTCAAACGCTTTTTTTTTGATGAAGAAAGATGGATTCAAAGTAATGCTATTGGCAGAGATGTCAACAATCAAGCTCATCAAGCCGAGCTAACGCGATATAGTAATGATTAGGCCTAAAAAAGCTAGCCTATTACTGTATCAAGTTAGCTCGGCTTGATGAGCTTGATTGTTGACATCTCTGGCTATTGGCTTTCTTTGGGACGTGTGTATTTAAGACCTGGCTTAGAAGAGTCTTTGTAAGTTACCGACATACTTTGTTGCTGAAGATTATTGCAAAGACTATTGTCGAGCCAATGTCCATGAGCCAGCTATGTTTAGCATATAGTTGCTGATTCTGGTGTGCTGGCTTCGGCCCTTTAGAGAGTCGGCCGTGCAACAGGATTTGTTTTCCTCAAGAGCGTAGAGCCCAAGTGTCTTATAGCTGCAATATTAGAGCAAGGGTGGGGAGCGTGTCCCCATAGTGTAATCTTGCGTAAATGCCAAGAAAAAAAAGGACGTGTGGATGAGGTGTTGCTGTATGTAATTGAGTAGCTGACGGGCGTCAACGTCTCACGTACATACTTACGGCTTATTGGCCCCCGCACAGACCCTTGTGTAGATGTGAATGTATGTAATGTACGAACGACATGGGCATATTCTCAACAGAATGCCCATGTCTGCCGTGTTTTTTGCATACAAGGCCTCTCGCGTTTCGCAGGGCGTCTGGTGTTTTGATAAACATCCATGCTGTTTACGCGAAAAAAAAAAGTTCAGCCCTAGCTAATCTGCACAGCGCGGAAGTTCATCCCGGTGCAAAAAAGACGCTGTTATATGTAATACCTGCCGGCGATCCCCATGCGGTCTGGGATACGGCTGCTTGGGGCTATCCACGTAGTGCAATCAATAGCAAATGAGCATGCTGGAGTGGTCGGCGTTCTGTCCTAGATGAGAACGGTCCGGTGGCACGGCAACGGCCACGGCCGCTTGTGATGTGCAGTCAGCACTATTGCTTGGGTGGGTGGTTGGTTCAGGGAGAAGACTGTACTCTATGTACATACTCTACATGCATTCACACTGCCTAGACCAACGCTCCAAGTGCCGCATGCCTTACATGTATTCGTCATCACATTCGGGGCCTCTGTTTACGCTGGCGGGGCAAGCGAGATTGCGGCCAAGGGAAACGCGACCTGGCCATGTCTGCCCCCGATGTGTACAGTAATTACTTAGCTACAACAGGCGCGTATATTATCCCAGCCCGCCCTGGCTGTCTTCCCCCGTCGTTTCTCCCGGATTTCCCCCGCATCGGATCATGTCATTAGTGTCATGTGGCGCGTCGGCAGTTACAAACAGCGACCGAGACGCGGCCCCCCAAACCAACTCTCTTGCTGTCAGCCACCTCTTCTAACCAACATGATGCCTCGTAGTCGGGCGTACATGTACAGTAGTCTTCGCGATACGTCGTCCTGCTCAACCAGTGGCATCCCTCCTGCATCTGCCGTGCCCGCCGTTCGTGTCAGCTCGGCCGTCCATTCGGTGGGACTCCAAATTGACCGATACAACGAGCATGGGTGCGGTTAAATGTCTGGACCGAAGGAGCTCAAGTCAGCCAAGCTATGCCAAAGCTTGAGTGGACAGCAGCATACAGTGCTCGCAGTTCAACAGACGCGTTGGGCTTGTATTGGACGAGCTGCCTATCGCACACCAAGCATGCAGCATACCCCGGGGTAGTGTGGCAGCCATGTCTCTATACAGAGTAAGCCTCAGCGAGCTTGCAGACTGGCTTGCGACAAGCTTCGTCAAGCTCATGCTTCACGAGTCAGGATCCACATTCGTTTATGATTGCCCATGTCCCTTCGCGCTTCTGAGGCCGACACCTGATACCTGAACGCACCTCTTTGTACTTGGGACGTACGTACTACAACACCAGGGAGACGCCATTTGAAACACACTCCTGTCCCCCAACAAGTCGTCTTTTCCAATCAGGTGTCGCGCGGTACGCACATGGAACAGCCCGAACTGTCATCGCACTCTTGGCTTTGATTCTGTCGCTGTCTCCATCCCGCACAGGTCCCAAGTGCCCCAATCATGAACTCTCACGACTACAACGAAGATGTAAGACTGCCATAATCGTCCTTGATGGACAACGCTAACACCGTCTAGGAGCGGCGTCAGATCGAAGCCGAGCTCCATGTCGAAATCGTTCCTGGAACGGAAGTCATGACCGATGTTGGCTCGCACCACTTTGTCAAGGGCTCCCACCGCGAAGTGCTCGTCCCTCAGCCCAGCGACGATCCAGACGATCCGCTCAACTGGAGCATCGGCTGGAAGTTGTCGTGCATTACCGCATCCAGTGTCGTAGCTTTCAGCCAGGGATTCGGTCCATTGGCTCTTTCGCCCATGTTCCCAGCGCTCATTAAAGAATTCCACACCGACTTGGCTGGTGTTGTTCAGTTTACCGGTGTATGCATTCTGGTGCTTGGCTTTAGCAACTTTATTTGGTGCGTTTCTCCCTTCTCATCCACTTTTTGTGAATGCTAACATAATCCATGACAGGGTGCCCATCAGTTCCTCCTTTGGCCGTCGCCCTGTCCTTTTGGCCTCCCAGCTCATCAACTTTGCCACGTCGATATGGCGCGCCAGAGCAAACTCTTACCGCTCCTTCATGGGCGCATGCATCGTCAACGGCATCGGTGCAGGCCCTGGAGAAACCATTATGCCCGAGGTCATTGCTGATATCTTCTTCCTCCATGATCGTGGCAAATGGAACACGCTGTACTGGGTCGCCTACATGGGCTCGCTCATGGCCGGTCCTATCGTGTCCGGTTCCATGACTGAGACTGTCGGGTGGCGCAACTTCTGGTGGCTGAACACTGGCCTGCTTGGCCTCTCATTCCTCATGGTCGTCTTCATGTTTCCGGAAACGAGGTTCAAGCGCATCATACACGACCAGCATGTGCAAGGGAAACCAGCCCCACAGGACGAGAAGCCACAGGCGCCCGCTACTCAAGAAAAAGAGAAAGACAACAGTTCTGACGGTGAGCGTAGAAACAGCGATATCCAGCAAACGGCCACTGCGAACACCGCCGCTGCAGATGACAAGGAGCTTCAGCACACTGAAACTGCAGAGCGCGATCCCTATCTTGGCCGTGGTAAGCCTGCCAAGTGGCAATGGAAAGTATTCCAACCCAACGCACATCCTTTCCGCACCATCTTGCTCGACCTGTGGATCCCATGGAAGCTGTTTACTTTTCCCATTGTCGAGTTCGCGGCGTTTGTGGTCAGCTGGTCGTGTTCAAGTTTTCTCACCATCAATCTTACGCAGAGCCAAGTGTTTGCCGCTCCCCCGTACCATATGAAACCCATGGTGGTAGGCTTTACCAACTTTGCCGTCATGGTCGGTGCTTTCATCGGCCTTGCCACTGCTGGGCCGCTTAGCGATTGGATTTCGGCGCGAAGCACACGGAGAAACAATGGCATTCGTGAGCCCGAGATGCGATTGCCAGCCATGATACCTTACGTCATTATCATGTTTATCGGTAACATTGTCGTCTCGATCGGCTACGAACGCAAGTGGGCGTGGGAGGTCATTGTCATAATCGGATACACGTGCGCTGGCATCCAGGTCGCGGCACTCCCGGGTATCGTCAGCACTTACGCGGTCGACTCGTACAAGCCCGTTGCAGGACCGCTGTTTGTTGCCATTACAGTCAACAAGAATGTCTGGGGTTACGGGTTCAGTAAATTCATCACGCCTTGGACGGAACAGGTCGGGTAAGCTCACCAGATCCATTCCATATATATCCAATACTAACGCAGCCAGTTTCATCCCACCCATCATGACTAACGCAGCCCTGGTAACGCTCTGGTGTCTCTTTGGAATCCTCTTTTGGTGGAAGGGTAAGACGTTCCGTCGCTGGAGCAAGAACAGCAGCGTCCACCGTCACCAAGCCTTGTAAAGCGCATCGCATATCCGCTTTCTAGACCATCAACTTCGCACCAGCCTGTGCCTCCATAGTCCCAGTCTAACCCCCCCACCATCTTGATTTCACCCCTTCAATTCCCCTGTGCCAGCGCCTTTTTCCCTCCACTCCCCGCTGCAGCCCTCCTCACCTCGTCCGCAAACCACTCGCACTCGTCCGCCCTGCCCTCGAGCTCCTCCCACCCACACACCTCCATGTCTTCCAGCACGCCATTGTTCCGCCGCAACCACTGCCAATACAGCAGTGCCACACACGTCTTCATCTTGAGCTTCTCTATACTCCACCCCTCGACCTGCTCGTCCCCCAGAACAAGATACCCATCCAGCTCCGTGATATGATGCTTCATTCGCTCGCGCACCCCGTGCGTCGTAAAGCCCCCGCGCGGCGCCGCAATCAGTGTCGCAATGATATTCGGCATCAGCGGCCGCCGAAACGGATATTTGTCCGGATACGCCGCTGGGATAGGCGGTGGTGCCATAGCCGTAGCCGTAGCCATAGTCGCCGTAGCCGTAGCAGAAGTCCCAGTAATACCATCACATTCCCGTAACAACGGAGGCGGCAACGAAGCCACCGCAAGCGGCATATCCCGATAATGATGCTGATACGCCCCAGCCTCGACCTTCCGCTCGCGCAGCATATCATAGCGCAGCAGCAGGCGTATTGCAAGCTGCTTCTTGCGGTCGTACAGCCGGGCGAGCGCAGCGCGGTTCTCGGCGATTTGCTCGGGGAGCAGCGTGCGTGTGACCAGAAAGAATAACTCGCTTATGATATACCGGGGTGAAAGCAGCAATCCTTGTAGCGATGATGATGATGATTTTGTTGTTGTTGTTGTGGTGGTGGTGGTGGTGGTGGTGGAGGAGGAGTCGAGTCCATCCAGCACCTCGCTCCAGTTCGTCTGCGGATCCACGGCTTCCAGAAGTGTACTCACAACGCGTGAAACGCCGCTGATACTACCATACATGCGGCTGAATTCCAGCACTGCATCTAGACTTGCTTCTAGCGTTCCTGCGAAAGGGCTTGGCACTGTCTGTGCGAGGTGGTAGTGTGCAGGGAGTTTGGAACTACTTTTCTGCGGGGCGGGAGACGCCGAATTGGAATCGGGGATTGCCTCGTTGTGCGTGATTGTTGTGCGGAGGCCGCGCCCGCGTCTGGTGGGGGGTGGCGAGGGGGTGGGAAATGGTGTGGTGAATGAGGCGTCGGAAGTGAGGGAGTGAGTGCGTGAGGCCCGGCGGGCGGGTGGACGCGTGGGATTGGAACGCGGCATTCTGGGTATACTATTCTCCAAATGGCGTCTCACTATGAATCGGTGTATTCTATAAGGGTGTTTGAGAAGGTTGTGGTAGTAAAGTGGAGAGTTGAGTAGGCGGAGTGTTGAGCAGATGGTGAAAGTGAGTAAGAGAATGAGTACAACTGGATCTTGACTCGTCAAGTGTATGCTGGGTTGTTTGAGTACTGTGAATAAACAATGGGCTTTGTTGAGATTGAAAAGGCTTCACTGAAGGGATTCACTGGCTTTTGCATTTTGTTGCGATGAGGCTATTGTGTTAGTGTTTGGATGAAGATTTGAGCAGGTCTATTCTGATATCTGGTAGTCAGTAATTCTTGAGCATTCTGGTCTAATGGGAACAGGTTGATATGGAATGAATAGATCCAGCCGGTGAACAAAGATCATGCAAAAAGCCTTTGACATGGACATTTGTACAGTGGATCTCTTTGTACTTTGTACTCTACTACGTTCATGTATAGCTTCACTATGTAGGTATTTAAAAGTTCAAGGTTTATACAAGATAGTCTCCATCGCAAGTATAGTATATGCACTCTCGCATCACCACTATGATTTGTGGAGATATCCAAGAATAGGAAGAGCTATACCGCTATTAAAGTAACAGTGTAGGAAATTTCAAACTATGTCTGTGTATTGATTAGAATTCGGGGACATATGTCTAGATTGCTTGTTATCTAGCAGTTAGTAAGGCTGTGTTGTATTCCATGGACGCCCAGATATTTAGATAGAAGACAAAAGTGAATTTCATTCATGAATGGGGGCATGTGAGCAGTACAGTATTGCGGGTGATACGGGTGTGCGAATATGTGGTGTTGGGGTACATATTGTGGCGCTTGAGAAAATTTTGGGCTGCTGATGTATTACATACATATTATGCCATATTGATGTCTCTTTCTAGGTGTGAACATGTGGGATGTAATCTAGTAAGATGAGTGATTTGTATTTGGAGTGTTGGCGAGGTAAAGCAATAGAACTAGGCTAGTAGCGTTTTCTTGGTCGTGGGTGTGGGAGTCGCTTTGCGATGGTACTTTGATAAACTTGTAAAAATAAAGATGCGGGGGGGGGGGGCTGTTTTGTTGTAATTGCTTTCTCATGTTAGTGGTCTGAGTTGAACCCGAGGATATGGGTTTCCGGGTACTGAAAATAGGATTTGTACACTTGTTTAATAGACTCATTATGGAGAGCCATGGAAACCAGGGGCGATGTGCCTTTTGCCATAAGCCATGAAGTAGAAGGATATTCCATAGAAAATAGATTTATTGATCTACCAAGCATAAGCGCGGTGACACTGTGATTAATGGGTCAGGACGCATGTATCTAGTTCCCCTAGGTACATTTTATCTGCAGCTTGATTGACATCCTTGACCTTCTGGAGGAGCTTATTGATTCTTGCTTCCAGCCCGACCTTTGTTTGCTGAGCCACCTTTGCATCATCCTCCTTCCGTTGGGATACCTCTCTTGTGGCTTTCTCGGCATCCTCAAACCTTTGGTGAAGCTTATTTACACCTTCTTGCAAACAATTCCTTGTTTTTTTTTTTGCAGATTTAGCTGCAATTTATAGTTGAGGTTGGTATTACGTGTCTTGCAGTAAGCGAATTGTCAAAAGAATGCAACACCCATTAACTCTTAGCGCGAGGGCATTACGTGATACCCACGCGCTACTTATTGCACTTCGAGGACTGCCACCATTGCCTAGTGATACATCCATTGCTACTGTAACAGCTGAGTGATTGTATTATAGCTCTTGATCTTGTCCTCTTCTAGCTGCTCAAAATTTTAGACAAATTAACTCATCCTCTCTTGCAGACGTTTCCTTGTATGCTGAGCCAATTCAGTATCGTTTTGCTGTTGCATGATTGTACCATCGACTGCCTTCTTGCCTTCCTGCCTTCTTGTCTTCTTGCAATCTCCTGCCGATGTGGCAAAGCTCAGTGGTTCTCTTCTCTAAGCCAACCCTTATTTTTTCAGCGTCCTCCTCGCCCCTCTTCTTATCCCCCATCAACAGCTTTAACTGCTATGCTTTGTTTCCAATAACGTGCAATGCCTCGGTGATTCTTTCTTGCAATACATTCATTATTTGGCCAACCTGGATCTCAAACTACCACTCGTCTTCTATCGGTTTTGCCAAAGCTTAGTTGGCACTCCTGGTTCTTTCTTTGTCTGCCAAAGATCCTGATTTAGCCTCTTGACCCTTTCCAAGCGATTGGATATTTAATCTTCAGGGTCTTCTAGCTGCTGCTGCAGCTCTTACTTGTCCAGCTTAGCCTTCATGACAAGCTCTTGCTTCCTTTGGCGCTCGGTAGCTAATTCCTCTTGGGTATTTATCCAGGCTTCACTGATGACCTGAATTTGTGGTTGACACTCTTCCAGATTGTCTAGTCTTGTTAGTCAATTGATATAGTCAAACAATACATCAAACTTACTATTTGTGAGCCTGCCGGGTGATAGGAGCCTGTTCAACTTTGTCGATAGATTATTAGAAGTGATACCCAGATTCGATTCGCGAAAAAACAGAAAATCATACATATTTTCCCCTGACGATACCCAGCTGGTCTTCGAGTATTAGAGACGAGAAAAGAGATCTGACGTGGGGTTGGCGCTAATACTTAGGTCCCTGCCGATCGGTGTTCGTGCACGGCCCCCAAAACTTTTGGTGACATCAATGTCGAACCGCGTCGCCTATACACAGAACCAAACACTCCATGCACTGGTATCCACAATGAGACGGTCAAACCCCACAAGAGCGATAAGCTCAATTCGAAACTTTGCATCACAATCAGCACATCGCCGTCCAACAGCCCGGCCCCCGGCCTTCCAAATACCTTCCTCGTTGCCATCGCGATGCATAACCACCACGGCCCCACGATACCACAATCCTACAGCCAACTCGACAGTCGATCCGACAGAAGTCTCCCATTTCAATGCGCTCGCCTCATCTTGGTGGGATCCTCACGGTCCTTCACGACTCCTACACCTCATGAACCCCCTCCGTCACGACTTTATAACGCGATGCCGCTCCACCGTTGCCCCTCCCACGGCACAACAGAAGCTTCGCTACCTAGACATTGGCTGCGGCGGCGGCATCTTTGCTGAATCAGCTGCGCGCCTCCCTACCACCACATCCGTCACCGCAATCGACCCCACGCCCCAAGTCCTCTCCATTGCCGAAGCACACAAACGACGCGACCCTATCCTGACCTCGCCGGGCAAACTCACATACATCAACACTTCTATTGAGAATCTCCCCCAGCCAGCTTCGGATACAGAGGCTTTCGATGTGGTGACGCTATTTGAGGTTATTGAGCACGTCAATGCCCCCGGCCCGTTCCTCGAGCACGTACTGCCGCATGTCAAGCCCGGCGGGTGGCTTGTAATGAGCACGATTGCAAGGACATGGACGAGCTGGTTGCTTACAAACGTCGTTGCAGAAGATGTGCTGGGCATTGTGCCCAAGGGTACGCATGAGTGGAGCAAGTATGTGAACGAGGACGAGCTTAGGACCTGGTTTGCGAAACAGCCAGAATGGGGCAATTCAAAGACCATGGGTGTCATGTACGTGCCTGGATTGGGATGGAAGGAGGTTAATGGGGGCGAACAATGGGGAAATTATTTCTTTGCTGTGAGGAAAGTGGCCTGAGAAGTAAAATGGAATGCAGGATTCATTTCATATAGGATCGTGGGAGCATGATACCCAAAAGTAGTGTACAATATATGGACGCCCTCTTGGACGTTGCCCGCGAAGTCTTCCCTCGATACTTCAACATGGACTGGCCAAAACACCCAGCAATGCCTCTTACACGCCCACTGGATATATCACATCTCAACACCATGCACCCCATCAGCCACAGACGCCATCGTGGTTCTCCGTCATGACTTGGTCGCAGGCTTCTCTTCGAAAGGTGTGGGCATGTTCTTGTTCGCATCCGCAGCGCCATCGGCAGTCTCTACGGCATCGTATCCACCCGAGAGCTTCCACGCCCTCAGGTAATCCTCGCCAGTGAATCGCTTGGGGTAGTTTTGTGCTATGCCAGAGTCCAAGTCTCGTACTTTTTCTACATTTGCGTCCACAAAGGGTGTCAACTGTTACCCGTCAGCTCTCCGCCTACTTGCTGCAACGCCTCGGCCTCTTCGCACGCACCTCGCTGTTGTTGGTCCCGTATAGAGGATAGGCATATGTCCGTATCTTGCTCCAGTCGGGGCTGAATTTGCCGTGTTGGTTGATTGTGCCCATGGAGCCTACGCTGTTTCCCTTGTAGTATTCCTTGCCGGCCTGTTTCGGGGAGAGTGGCAGACGCCGTATCGTGTTCTGGAGAGAGGGCGTGGGCTTGAACATTGTGGCGGTTGGCTCGTACGCTTGCAAAGGAGCGAGCAATGCGACGGCGACGTCGTTCTTCGCAAACGCTGATGGACGCTGCGGAGTTCGCGCGGAGGTGGCACGGACCAACACTCAAAAAAAGTGCAGCCAAGATTTCGACTCGAGGATTTGCCCGCCCCAGCGACCTTCCACCACGACAACCCCAAGATGCCGCCCCGAGTAGCAAGAAGCTCAATCCAGAGCGGCAGCTCTTCTTCAAAAGGCCGCTCGAACGCGCGCAACCCCAAGAAGGCGCAGAAGCGTGCGCTCAACGCCTTCTCCATCGCCGAGCACGAAAATCTCGATGGCGCGAAGATTCGCAAGCACCGACTTGGCGAAATTGACCCCTCGTTTACTCGCAAGCGCACGCGCGGCAATGGCGATGCCGACGAGGAAGAAGACGAGGAAGACGAAGAGGGCGGGCCAAAGAGGCGGAGGATGAGGACGGGCGACGAGAGTTTCGACGAAGGCAGCGACTCGGAGGGCAACACCTGGCAAATGGGTCACGTAGAGAACGACGACGATGACGAGAGTATCGACTCTGACGAAGCCTTTGGTGACAGCGACGAAGAGAGATTCGAGGGCTACACGTTCCGGGGCAGCTCAAAAAGCCAAAAGAGCAAGCCGAAAAAGTCAAAGAGACAGCAGGATCTGGAAGATGAGGATGGCGACATTGATCTGGATGAGGGTGACAGCGCAGACGGTGAAGAAGAGTACGACGAAGATGACCTCGGTGAGGATGCTATCGACCTGGCAACCGCACTGGATCAATACGAGGAAGATGAGGCTGAGGAGCAGAGGGAGAAGAAACAAAAGAAGCGCGCCTCGGCATTCGATGGCAGCGACGAGGAGTCGAGCGAAGGAGAAGACATGGAAGCAGACGATGCATCTGAGATGTCCTCTGATGAAGACGACGACGACGATCGACAGGCACAACTGCAAGACTTGATCTCGTCGCTGGCATCCAAGGAAGACGAAAAACGCAAGGGCAAGAGAGTAGACGTCCACGAGTCCGCCGCCCCAGACGAATTTGGTGTTGCGAGAAAAGTAGACCTGTTAAGCCTGAAGCCCAAGGTGACTGATGCGGAGAAGAAGAAGGCACTCAAACTGCTCGAAGACGACAAGTCGACAAAGCGCAACGACATTGCCCGCAAGCTCGATGCTCCCCTGCCGAAGCGACAGCAAGACAAGCTCGACCGTGCTGCTGCCAACGCCAAAGCGAACGAGACCCTTGATAGATGGACTGACACCATCAAGCGCAACCGTCGCGCCGAGCATCTCATGTTCCCTCTACAAAACTCCAGTGGTGGCGAGCCTACAGGAGCGAAGACACTCCAACCTACTACTACCGCGGCTCCCGCAAACGATCTCGAAAGCACCATCCAGTCCATCCTTCAGCAAAGCGGTTTGTCTAACGGCAAAGAGGACGAAGACAAGATTCAAAAATGGGAGGAACTCCAAACGAACAAACTTCCCATTGAAGAGGTCCTCAAGCGACGCGCTGAACTGCGTATGCAGCGTGAGCTCCTCTTCCGCGAAGAGGTTCGCGCCAAGCGCATCAAGAAGATCAAGAGTAAGGCTTATCGACGAGTGCATCGAAAGGAGCGTGAAAAGATGCTGGAGAAGGAGCGAGAGCAACTAAAGGCCGACGGTGTTGATCTTTCAGAGGAAGAACGCGAGTACAACGACCGCCGACGAGCTGAGGAGCGCATGGGCGCCAAACATCGCAACAGCAAATGGGCCAAGGGCATCAAGGCCACAGGACGAGCAGCATGGGACCAAGATGCGCTTGAGGGTGTGACGGAAATGGCGAGGCGCAATGAGGAGCTCCGCCGCCGTGTTGAGGGTAAGACTATCCGCGATGATGACGAAGAAGGATCAGATCTGCCAAGTGATGAGGAGAGTGAAGAAGACGGACAGTCTGACGACGATGCACTCCAACGAACTCTTGGAAAGCTCAAAGAGAACCCATTTTCCACTGGCAAGTCCAAGCTTGGCGAGATGGCTTTCATGAAGAGATCGGAAGCTGTTAAGCGCGCGCAAAATGACGAAGCCGTTGAGAGCATTCGACGAGAGCTTGCTGGTGAGGATAGTGCAGAAGAAGAGCTTGATGAGAATGCAACCAAAGCTGGAAGGCGAAAGTATGGGCCCAACGCCAACGTTACTGCTCCAGCGATACAACTCAATCGTAGCGAGTTTGAGGAGCGTCCTGGGTCAGACGGAGAGGAAGATGCACAGCCTGCTACGAATGGTAACGAACCTGCACGAGAGCAGTCGTCAAACAAGCCTGCTTCGAAGAAGGCCGGTGCCAATGGTCTCTCCAACGGTACACGCAAGCCTGCAGCGCCACAAATGGAGAATGAGAGCGGCTCTCCCAACCCCTTCTTAGTCAAGGCGAAGAAGGAGAAGAAAGCACCAAAGGAGCCAGAGCTTCTGCCTACCACAGTGGTCACAAAGCCCGCCGCGCCAACACCAGCCCCGAAAGCAAAGTCTCAGAAAAAGTCAAAGCAGTCTGAGAAGCCTCAAGAAACCAAAGTAGATGAGTTTCTCAAGCAGCGTGTTACGGAAGCAGACGATGACGGCTGGGCAACTGTGCTGGGTGGTCAAGATGGCGATGAAGACCAAGATGACCAAGGCATTGAAGACGAGGGTATTGACCTCGATGCCGTCATGCGCAACCAAGCCCTCACAGCCAAAGGCTTTGCTGGCGACGACGTTGATGCTGACTTTGAGGCCGAGAAAAACGCCACCATTGCCGAGGAAGAGTCTGCGGAAGTCACTACCTTCCTTCCTGGCTGGGGATCCTGGACCGGTGAAGGCATGTCCAAGGCTGAGAAGAAGCGGAATCTTGGTGCCAAAACCGTGACTCACAAGTCTGGTATCGATGCCAACAAGCGCAAGGACAAGAAATTAGACAAGGTCATCATCAACGAGAGGAGGGTCAAGCCGAATACCAAGTACATGGCCAGCCAGTTGCCGTTCCCATTCGAGACCAGGGAGCAGTATGAAAGGAGCCTGAGGGTGCCCCAGGGCAAGGAGTGGGTCACTAAGAAGACTCATCAAGATGTCACGAAGCCGAGAGTTATTGTCAAACAGGGTATCATCAAGCCCTTGCGGAAACCCCTGGTATGAGCGAGTCAAAATAGATAATCTCTTTTTGTTACATTTGAACTGGAATGGCCAATTCCAAGCATTTCATGTCCTCTACTCTGTCTGCTATCCTGTCTGCTGCCTATGCTAGGCGATGTATCCACGTGACCAGCTGCAGTATCAGACTCTCCTGCGCATGTATAACAAGAACCGCCAAACTCGGCTCTGTCTCGATTCTCACCTCACTCTCTACATCTTGTCCTCTCTTTGCGTCGTCTTACTGTCTGTCGAATTCTCATCAGGTCACAATGGCTGGCGGCCTTACTTGCGGCTCAACTTCTCATCGCGCAACTGCGCAAACTACGCAGTAGTTACGAGATGACCCTCGCCACTTCCTAGTCGTACGGCAGCACCAAAATGGCCAGAGAAGCTTTAATGCCTATAGATTCCGGCCTCCGCCGCTTCTCACTCTTACATAAAGTACACCCTAGCTATCTTGTTACCAACTCACTACAACCATATCGTTTCGTCCCTAGAAACTGGTCTCATAAGCATCCTAGTCTACACGGCGCCTAATAATAGATTTCATGGGCCCAGCTCAATCTCGGCCGGTTGACATACCCTCACCGCCTTCAAAGCCTACAAAGAGAGAAGCTTGGTTCGGATCATGGCGCGACACTCGTCAAGGCATCCGCAGCTCTCTCGGCTACAGCGCGTCAAGCGTGTCGGACGAAACATCACCCGATGACATCTTCACACCCATACAAGCAGACAATATCCTCCCACAGATTCCGATCGGTCGTCATCACCCGGTGCCTGGGACGGGAGTGGAGGATGACGACTTGAAGACGATGCATACCAACAAGTTCTATGCTAATGCATTTCTTGGAAAGCAAAACCAACCGATCTGGACGCATCCATACAGCCTCTGGTGGGGCAAGGGCATTGCAGAAGCAGGCATGATACAGACGTGGGGTATGTGTGTGAGCCATGTCGAGCAGTCTGACTTGGTTTTTGAACCTGGAGAGCCAGCCAACGGCTACATCAACCCTCTACACAAACAGAATCTTGTTCTCACGGCGGCCGAACTCGACGGCCAAACGACTCTCACCACCGACACGCATCTTCCTTTCTCGGTCAATATCAACCTCATTGCGCATTCAATTCCCCACGAACCCAAGATCACCTTTCCAGTCGTACAGGGAATGGGCTTCATCACAGCCGGATACAGAAACGCAACGCCAATGATACAAACCGGTGGGCGTGGCTTCGCGGACATGATCGGCCCAATCACGCTAGGAAGGACAGTCAAGTATCGTCTTATCGAAAAGACCGGCCAGTGCTGGGTCATGTACGTGAACCCAGTGGTTAATATCGGGTACGACGCGGCGAAATTCAGACGGCTTGACCAAAACACAATCCTTGGTCCTCCAGGCTTCAAAGGCACAATTCAGGTAGCCAAAAACCCCTTGGGGTCTGAGGGCGAAGCGATATACGACCGAGCGTCTGGAGCATTTGTCTACGAGGCCAAGCTCACTGCTGTCGTTTCGGATAGCAAGGGTGTTTATTCCTTCCAGTACACCAAGATAGGGCGCTGTCCACTACTCATGTTTTTTCTGCCGCACCACATACAGTCTCTGGACCCAGACATGCGAGACCGAATTACCAATCTGCAGCTACGCACTTCGACCAAGGGCATGGCAACAGCGGTGTGGGCCGAACGGCCAACATTTATTGAGCCCAATCTCCCTGTGACCATGCACTTTGCGCCATGGAGCCCTACCGTGGGCTCCAATGCCAAAGTACGCTACCCACCCGAAGTGCTCGCCTTCATCGCAGCGGTCGCAGAGCGCGACCTTCGCCGCGCAATGACGGAGCCCATACCGCAAGACACAATGTACTATGCCGGCAAAGCCTTGGCCAGATTCGCCGCCATTGTATGGGTCATCAAGGACATTCTCAGCCACGAGGCGATTGCAAACGCGGGGCTGAAAAAGCTCAAAGAGGAGTATTCAAAATACGTTGAGAACCGGCAGCGCCACGCACTTTACTACGACGACAGCTGGAAAGGCATCGTGTCAGCCGCCGGCTTCACGGATTCCACGGCCGACTTTGGAAACACGTACTGCAACGACCACCACTTCCACTATGCGTATTTTGTCTACACGGCCGCCGTGATCGGATACCTGGATGCGGAGTGGGTGGACCAGGGCCGCAACAGGGAGTGGACAAACATGCTGGTCAAGGACTTTGCCGAAAGCGATTACAACGGGCGCGACTACCCCTTTTTCCGCGCGTTTGACTGGTGGCACGGCCACAGCTGGGCAAAAGGCCTGTTTGAGAGCCCCGACGGAAAAGACATGGAGAGCACGAGCGAAGACGCCTTCTCGAGCTTTGCCATCAAGATGTGGGGACGCGTCATTGGAGACGTGAACATGGAGAAGAGAGGTATGTAAACGCTATTTGGCTTTCGAATATCCAAGTGAATACGTACGTGGGAGCAACATGGAACTGACACACGCACAATTACAACAGGCAACCTCATGCTAGCCATGCAGGCACGCTCGTACAACACGTACATTTACCTGCAAACAGGCAATGTCAATCATCCCGCGCGCTACGTGCAGAACAAGGTCTGCGGCATATTGTTTGAGAATAAAGTCGACCATGCGAGTACGTATGCCCGTCACAGCACCATGTGCATTTGTTGTAAGCCGTTACTCCTTGTGGATACTGCATACCTACCTACATACGTACCGAGAGCGTCGAGAGAAAAAGCAAGAGACGGAATATTCTGCAGCATGTCCACGTTTGTGTGCTAACAAGGACGGTGCAAAAAGCTTACTTTGGTCTCGCGCCAGAACTCATTCACGCTATACACATGGCGCCCATTTCGCCCGTGACGTTGCTGATCCGGCCGCGGGCGTTTGTCAAGGAAGAATGGGACAGGTTTTTCAGCGAGGGACGCGCAAACGTGCAAAGTAGGTGACATGCTAGTCGTGCTTGCGGCATGATGGCTTCATTTGAGCTTTTGGATTGTTGGGGAATGAGTGCTGATAGATTACAGGCAGCTGGCGCTCCGTCTTGTATGCCAACCTGGCCATTGTGGATGCCAAGGCCAGCTATGGATTCTTCCGCGACGGCATTGATGGCTTCTGGGATGAGGGGTGGATTGATGCCGGGGCGAGCCGGACGTGGTATCTAGTGTGGGCAGCGACCATGTGGGAGTTTGCCAAAGCAGGGCGATGAACAAGGGGGACCTGGTGATGAATAAGGTGATTGGGTCATGTTTTTAGGCTAAAGTCGGGAAATTGCCAAGGACTGCAGGCAAATGGATGAGCAGGCGAGGAATGGCTGATGTCGAATGCACAAAGATGGTCACTGCGTGTAACATGTTTGAAATATTTGTTATTCTCGCGATATTCATACAAACTTTGACCCCAGTAATGGAGGTTATGCACCATTGCGCTGCTCGGGCCGGCGATCGCGCACGGACCGATGATCTCGTCAGCCACACTTCGCTTACTCCCGTAGCACTGCCACAAGCAGAGAAAACGCCAAGACCCGTTGCACCGCCCCACAGATAGTCATGCATGGAAAAAAGCAGGGGGAAACCATAACGAACCATAGTAGACCTGGGAATATTCCGACAAATGACAAGGAAAAATACATGACAAAGGAAATAGGCCGCCCGGTGCTCTGTAATCGTGGTGACCTGGCTGGAATATGGCGGTTATTCGGGCAGAGATCAAATATACACACGAGAAGCCTCGAGAGCGCATGTAGGCGGCGCGTTGCATCAATGTGCTTTTGAGACGCATCGAGTCTAGTGTACAGCGAAAAATCGCTTGATAACTTCGCCGGTGATGGTGCCGGCCGCGTCGTCGGGGTAGATGTAGAAGGCAAGTGCGATGATGGCGTAGATGGCAATGCACATGGCGCCCTCGAGGTAGTTGCTCTTGCCGTCTTGAATGAGGTAGTTGACAATCAAGACGGAGATGAAGAAGATCATGGTCTCGAAGCCCTGGAAGTGGAGGGTCATGGGCTGGTGCATGATCCAGCCGAGGATAACGAGGAAAGGAGTGACAAAGAGGGCGATTTGCATCGAGGATCCAATGGCCACGTTGATAGCGAGGTCCATCTTGCCCTTGTAAGCGACCACGACGGCTGTGACGTGTTCGGCGGCGTTTCCGACAATGGGGATGAGGATCAAGCCGACAAAAGTCTTGCTAATGTGTGCAGATTCGACAATAGAGTCGATGCTGTCCACGAGGTACTCGGCGCAGATGGCGACAAGAACGGTGACGATGACTAGCGCAACACCAGCGGCGGTGGGAGAGAGGATCTCGGCCTCTTCTTCTGAGTCGCCGCCCTCCTGCGCCTCGACATCAGCAAAGAGGCTGTGGTGCGAGTAGAGCTGGAAGTAGAGATATAGGATGTAGATGATGAGCAGGATGATGGAGGTGCCGTGCGAGAGAAGGAGGATGTTCTGGTCCGTGGCATCGTTGGTTTGCTTGCTATCACTGTGCATGACGGCGTAGAGAGTGGCAGGGATGATGAGCGAGGCGGAGGCGACGGCCATGAGCGAGGACATGGTGGACGCGACTGTCTCATTGAAGCGGCTTTCGCGCTCTCTGATGCCAGCGGCGAGGAAGCAGCATCCGAGCACCTGCAATCAGTCAGAAACAAGCTTGGGCGGTGCGTGTGCGATGCGACTTACGAGAAGAATGTTGGACAGAATGCTGCCGAGCATGCTGGCCTGGACAACTCTGATTTCGCCCTGCTTGAGCGCAACAATCGAGACCTGGGCGGGTTAGCGCTTACGAGCGCGCATTGCGTGGGCGCGCACTTACAATGAGTTCGACGGCATTGCCAAACGTCGCATTCATCAAGCCACCGAGGGTCTGGCCCAGCTTGGCCGAGAGCTCTTCAGTCGCAAAGCTGAGAAGGGCGGCAAGGGGGATGATGGCGATGAAGTTGAGGATGAAGACGATAGTAGGATTCCAGGACAAGGCGCCGGCGATGATGCCAATCGGGACAAAGACGAGGAAGACGTTGACATAGTTGCTGGTGAGGGTGGCGTAGATCAGGTGGATGATGTGCTTGGGCAGCGTCTTGACGCGCGACTCGTCTGCGTAATTTTGGGTGCGACCGATGAGCGGGGTGTGCTCATCGTGGAAGCGGCCATTGGCGGGCTCTGGCATGTTGTGCTGCTGGTGCCAACTGGAAGCGCGACCGTGACGGTGAAAGTCTCTCTTTATGTTCTCTGCCAAGAGGGTGGGTTAGCGATACGGGAGTCTTGACGGGGGATAAGAGGCAGAGGCGCGATCGGGCCAGGGGGGGCGATAGGGTAGTGATGCTTGGTGGGAGGCGCAGCGGGCCGCCCAAAGAGCGGTACAGGAAGCGTGAGGGTGTTGACGGGGCGATGACAGAAGAATACCAAGGCCGGTAGATGCGACGAGAACAAGGCCGGGCATCTGCCACGTGCGGCGGCGAGATGCGAGATGGGGAATGGGGGGGGGGGGGGGTCGACTCACTCATGGCGTTGTTGAAGGGGAAGGGAGAGGGAGCGTCAGATGGACAGGCGCGGCGGCAGAGCTAGCAGAGGGTGTGTGTGTGTATGGGAGTAGTGTAGGTATGACCTGGCGAGGGCTAAGCTCTGTTGCGTCGAGGGCGGTGTTGGGAGCAAGCTCGGCAATTGGCTGGGGGCTTGCTTGCTTGGGCGGAGCGGCGGCCGATTTGAGGAGGAAGTGAGCAGGCAAAGCAGCGACGGGGACGGGGCCGGTGAAATAAGTTGAAGGGAGATGATGCTGGAGAAGAAGG